TGTTGTCTGCCGTCTTCAAATCGTAACGGTCCGATTTTGTCTTGTTTGGTGTGTCCCTTACAAGCTTGAGAAACTACAAGCCGTGTTTCATTGCCCTTATTGTCCACTATGTTTGTATCGTGCCAGAGTGCGTTGAAGTATGCCCATTTTCTGACTTTCCAGCTTCCACGCATTGGTGAGCATTCGCAACTAACATCAGTTGTGCTTTAATTCGGACCGTGCAATAGTGGTCACACCTGGTGTTAGGCCAGTTACCGTTGGGGTTGAACGTTGTTATGATTTTATGAGAGCATTCTCGTGCACAAAAATACGCCGAAAATTGGGGGTATCATGTTGCAGTTGGAAGACTCATCATATGGGCATCTGAAGGGGGCTATTTCAGGTCCCATAATTTGGCATCCATTTTTCTGCCGAGTGCTTACGACTTTAACGTCCGCTTAGATTGTTACGGATCTTTTGCACAAAAGCCGTTAAGATTCATAAAACTCGGTAAACTGCAGTGATATGTGGACCTAAGCTCAGATTTCTTCCGTCCCTGAATGCCGTCAACTGCAGCTGGGTGACTATCGCGATCAGCACCTCAGGCATTCTAATTATCTCACGCCAAATCAGGAGGGAAACTCCCGGGTACGGTTTTAGGAATAATAAAACGGCACAGTTGAGGGGCCAATAAATAGTTCTATCTAGCATCATAAATCCACTGAGGGGCTCAGTCTTGGTTTATTGCTGCGTTAGGTAGCATGGTTCCATATTCTTCATCCATTTATAGTATGTTTACGTGCAATAACACCTGTAGTGCCGTAAGCAAGCATGGTGGAGTTCATACGGAGGTATATTGAGTCTTTCAAAGCTTCACGGATTCACGGATTGATACACAGGATCGAGGCTTTTGCCCAAGTTTCCCGGGTCGGTTTTGTTCTTGTCGGTCAGTGGCTGTCGTTCACCTGAAAGGCACAAGTGAAAAAAGGGTGTAGCACTGCTCTTTATGTTCTCAGCGCGGGGCAGTATGCTCGCCAGCGCGAGGATTCGCATAAATAAATGTCTAATAGTGCTTTAAATTGGGTTCGAGAAGGAGCGTGTACAACCGTCGGAAGAAGATCATTCCACGCAGCTACTACCCGAAATGAAAAAAGTTTTGTCTAACGGATGTGTGTGCCCTGAGCTTGAAGATTTTCTTACTA